TGCGTATATATATATTTTTTTTTATTCATAAAAGTTGGATGTCCGAGAATAATAAAGCAATCACACACACAAAAAAAACACTATTTACAATTTAAACTTCAGTTTTCGATCCGCATTTCCGTTTGATCAGCATAAGGTAGAAAGCCCTACGGCTTTCTACCTTATGCTGATCAAACGGGACCGGATAAGGTCCGGACCTCACGCAATTCAGCGTAAGGTCCGGACCACCGTGGTTAGGACTGTACTTCGTCTTCACAGGTCGGAACGCAATTAAAGGCTTCACGACATACAGAGCCAGATGCAAACCCTCAAAGTGCAAGGTCACGGCGCATTCGCTGCGCTCAATTGCCGATGAACACCGTGCATGCACATTGAGCTTGTGACGCTGCTTGATTAGCCTCATCAGCTCTTCGACTGCGCTATGATAGTAGGACTGCACGTTGGGCGCCTTCTAATATTATTGATTTATTTACAAAATCAACCTGCAGCGCCGAATATTTATAGAAAATATCCAGCCTATAGTCGGTTGCAAGCTAAGAAAAAAACGGAAATGCCTCTCAGAGGAAAATGTAATCCTACGCCGAGAAACGCCAGCCAATCGTTTTCATGACGTCACGATTCCGTAGACCAATCGCGATCCTTTTGAAAAAAGAAAAAAAAAAAGCTCAACATGGCCGCTGGCCTTAGCAACGCGACGCTAGTTTCTCATGACAAATATTCTGCTTTTTTGCACCGTGTTTTAGGTGCCCGAGGTTACGCCACGAAATCTTAATGGTATCGGCTTGCGTTTGCAGCAGTTTTTGCGCGACAACGTGAGAATCCAGCGACGCTATCGCCAACGAAAATTTCGAAGCGGGCGCGAGGCTTAGCACTGCTGAGAGGTATGTTAGACGGTATGTTAGACAGTATCTTGGACAGAAAATGAATTGGGAAGACTGTACATTGAACATGACTTTCTTTCTTTACTAAACAGCTATTTCGTTGACAAAAAAACGTGTTCTAACTTATTTAAATGTCCTGAATGAATTAAATAAATATTGTAGTAGTTTAAGACACGTTTCCTGGAGGAAGAAAAAGCAACGTTGCTAGCGAACTACTTTCTCGACGGCGGAGGCACTTCAGATGGGCGCAATGCGCTTGTGGGTGGAGCTAAAAAATTGTTCTCAGGTTGCATCTGACTATAGTATGGTTGGAAAAAAAAATTGCTGTTGTATTTTTCTCTGTTAATCAAATCGTCATGTATAGAATTGCGTCTTATGAAGAACGCACCGGTCGCTAACTCTTAAAGTCATGATCTAGTGACTTTATACTTCGTTTCAGCCAACGTTACTAGAACTCATATTGTAGGAGAAGCGTAAAAGTAAATTCACTCACGCTGAAAATGCACGCACACCAGAAAAACGGTCACTCACAGGAGGTAGAAGCTGAGCTAGTTGGTGGTACATATTACAACGGTTAGACCAGTTGAACTACGAAATGAAGGAGAAAGGAGTAAAGACAGGTGATCGCTGGACTACCAACTATTTAATAAAGATTCTTCGTTTTCCTCTCTTTGTCTACTGGCGTTGTGGCCACCTTCTCTTCTTCCTACTTGATTTTTCTGTTCCATCTCGGATACTGGTTTTCCGGAGGAATCTTTTTTCGCTTTCCTGTAGCGCAATAGATGGTGTACTAACGCAATTTTCTTCTTTATCTTCTATGGCCAAGGCCTCAAGTATTTCACGGGCGAGCTGGTCTTTGTGGTGGGCTAATATGGTACCCAGGTCGAGCTTGGCCTCGCACGTGCATACTCGACAATGAGCGGCTAAATGCCCCGGCCCTGTTAGGGCTCTTACGTTTGCTGCATGCTCACGTGCTCGATCGTTCACGCACCTTCCCGTTTGTCCAATATACACACGCCCACAAGACAGTGGTATGTTATACACTACTCCCTTTTCGCATTGGAGAGAGAGAGAGAGAAGTGTTGAAAGGAAAGGAAGCCTGGAACTTATTAACCACACCGTCGATTGGGGGCAAGCCAGTTCCAGCTTGGGGATGGGGAAAGAGGGGATCAAAAGGAAAGATTAGAAAGGTGAAGAGAGGAGAGAGAAGGCATCTTGGATGAAGTCACAGTTACTTGATTAGGTTTGTCCACTACTCTATATCTATTCACAGCACTGTCAGCACTTTTACAAGCGGTCCAGTAGGCAGGTATCTTCCAGGAATACAAGAAGAGAAGAGAATGTTCTTGCGGCATCACGAACGGAGCCGGGGGGGAAAAGAATGTCTTGCGTAGTAGAGCGGGCAACTCCCGCGATCTGCAGTTTGTCGAAGAAGATTTTTCTCTCTTCTGCGTAATTGGGACAGGCCCAAAAGAGATGGTCCACATCCTCAAGAGTGTCACAAGTAGAGCAGTTTGGGCTCATCGTAGCGTCAATTCGGTGGATGGCAGATGCAGTATAGGCACAGCCTGTGCGAAGCCGGTGTAGTACGGAGGCGCTTGCACGTGGTAGCTTCGTAGGGACGCGTGGGGGTGGTTTCCCGTCAGCGACCCGTGGGTCCGGATGATTCTGGATTATCGCTTGGTGAATTAGCAGCTTGGCTTCATGAATCTTTGGCACCGCCATAATGGGAGTACCAAGCTGGTGTGCCGCAGCGGCAAGAAGGTCGGCCGTCTCATTACCCAAAATGCCTACATGTGAGGGCAACCATTGGAATGATATTTCCCAGCCCTTCGCTTGGAGGTTTCTTGCAAGGTGTGCAATGTATCGGGCATATTGAGGGGCATCATCAAGATTACCAAGATGTTGTAGTGCTATTTTTGAGTCGGTAAGGAGCAAAGCTTTCCCGCAGTAAGGAAGTTTCTCCAGGGCGTCAAGTCCAAGTCTAAGGGCCACCAGCTCAGCGGTTGTTGATGTCGCGTGGAAGCTGAGCTTTCTGGCATGAGACACATTCAGGTCAGGTATATAAACCGCTGCGGTAGATGACTTGCTGCTACGAAGAGCTGAGCCGTCGGTGTATATTCGCATCCATCCTTGGTACAGTGTCTCAATATGATCCTCTGTAGTTGTCCGGGCAACGACCTGTGCTGTGTTGCGTTTGCTTTTGAGCATTGGAACAGTCTCATTTATGTTCAGTGGAGGGGCATATGGTGGCGGTGCCGAGTAGTCGGTGTCCGGATCACCAATAAAGGTCATAAACTCCGTTGCCAGAGAACCAAGGCAAGAAAGGGGGCGTTGGCGAAGGCGCTCCAGAAGAGGAGCAGTTGAGCGACAGACAGTTTGCCTCGCTATGTGTCGGAGTGTTAGTTCTCTACCGTGATTTTCCACTAGGTTTACCCTCGCTTCCACTAGTGTTGGAACGTGTGGTGAATATCTGGGTAATCCAAGGCACAGACGAACTGCCACTCTCTGAAGAGTCTCTACTGCTGAACTCTGGGCATTGCCGAGGTTCACCAGTGGCAGTGCGTATAGCAACCTTGAAAGAATAAGACCCCTGTAGAGATGCATCATCATTGCCTGTACGGTCCCCCATCTGCTGCCAATGATCATGAGGATAGCGTTGAGGTGTCGGCGACATCTGATAATGGTTGTCTTGACTGCTGGTCGCCAAGAGACTCGGTCATCCAGGAGGAAGCCTAGATAGGAGTATGTTCGAACCCTTGTCACGTTTGTCCCATTGATCGTGTAAGTTCGGTTGATGGAAGACCTGGCCGTAGGGTGGTATTGAAGAGCGGCTGTTTTAGAGGCCGATAACGTAAGACCAAGCCTAGATATCACGTCAACTATAGCGTCGAGGCCTAGCTGGAGTGTTCGCTGCATGTTACTGTATGAGCTAGTTGGGGCAGTAGCCCAGAGAGCAACATCGTCGGCGTAAATTGCGATGTTTATGACTGGAGAGGGGTTGTTCAAGGGCTGCAGAGCCTCCGGCAGAGCTGCCATTGCTGCATTGAACAAAAATGGGCTAATGACGCTGCCCTGAGGAACACCCTGGGCTACTTGCCGTTTTGAACTGCGCACACCTTCTAAGCGAACGCACATTGTACGCCCTGTCAGGAATGCACGAACGAATGCGAGTGCTCGGCCGGTAACACCAAGCCTGATTAGCTGAGCTAGAATGGTTTCGTGCGGGATAGAGTCAAAGGCCTTTTTGATATCAAGGAATATTGCCGAGGTTTTCGCATTGGACGTACTTATTCTTATGTTTGGTGTTGCAAGTGCCGGTGTTGTTGGCCTCCCCTAGATTAACCTTCCGGCACATGGCATATCCCTTGTTTGGTGCCGAGCACACTACTTTGACGCCCTGCCTTGTGGCGATCTTTTTCAATCTATGTGTGACTCCATGAATATACGGAACCACCGCGAAAGGTGATTTAGGAACCTTTTTTCGTGTGTTAGAGTCATTCTTTTGGCTGGATTTCTTGATGTTTCGGCAGAGTGTTTCACAGATGGAGGCTAAGAAGGGTCTCGGATACCCGGCCTCATGGAGTCTGGAGATTTGGGTCTTGAGGCTTCGTCCCATCTGATGTGAACATGTTTTTCTGTGGCTAGCTGTAAGAGCTGTGGTGGCGACCCCTTGCTTTACATTTTTCGAATGTTCTGAGTTCTGACTCACGTCGCGCTGCTTACAACTCAAATTGTATTTTCGTCTTGCTTCTTTTTCTTTTACCCGTATTAAACTTCTTCGTTCTCTTTTGTACAAACAAATAGCGATGTCTATCGCACATTACCTTCGAGAGTCAAGATATAACAATTCTTTTTCAGTAAGCGTTATGGATGGACTGCTAACACTAGTATCACTCCTTTTTATGATGTTAGCTGCCTCTATTATCTCACGTGTTAACTGATGATGGTTCTTTCCAATTACGGTGCTATTTTCGAAGTCCGCTGTGCACCCACAGTCACGGCAGTGAATTCCCAAAAGTCCTGAGTTTTCTAATAAGATGTTGTTGTTATGTTCCCTTAATCTGTCATTTATACATCTTCCAGTTTGTCCTATCTACTGTTTGCCGCATGAAAGGGGAAAGGAATAAATCACTCCCTCTCAGCAAGGTATGTATAGGGTTCTATGCTTTTTAGTGCAGCCGGTATTAGTTTTTGGTATGGCGTTAACTTTTTTACATATGCCCGAGAGTTTGATGGAGGCGGAAACGACTACATCGACATTTGCGCGATTCCCAATCTTCTTCAGGTTATGAGAAATATTATGAATGTAGGAGATGACTACCGGTCTTTGGTTACTGTATCTGTCGCGTGGATTGTGGGATGTGATTTGACCTTTTTTAATCTGTTTAAAGAGACTTTCGGCAACTGAAGTTAAAAGATGAGAAGGATATCCCGCACTTAGTATCCTAGATACTTGTCCTGCGAAGCTTGTTAGGCCTGAATGTGGGCAGGACTTGGAAATAGAGTTTTTTAAGCACTGGTTGACTATGCCTCTCTTTGCCAATTTAGAATGCGCCGAATTATAATTTAGGAGTGTTTTTTTCCCTCTCGGCTCATACGACCAACAGACATGATGGGGCTGAAGATGCAGTCTTAGGTCCAGAAATCTTAAGGATCCTAGCTCTGGCAGCTTGTGTGTAATCTCCAAAGGGTTTAAACATGCTTTCAACTTGACGAGCACATTGGGCACATGAATCGGGAAGTCTTTTTCGTTAATGTCCAGGGGTATCAAATAGTCATCAACGTAGCGAAACACCTTTACCACAGTCGAAGAATCTAAGCTCTTTTGAAGCAGTCTGTCGTGGTATGTTAGGAATAAATGACTGAGAATTGGTGCAATGCAGGATCCTATGCAGACCCCCTTTTTTGAAGGTAGGTGTTACGGTTCCAAGACGCAAAGGTAGACCTGAGGTAAAACCTGAGCAAATCAAGAAAGTTGCTTTGGGAAAGTCCTGAGGTGTTCTGGAAACCTATGGCACCATACGAGTCAATGCTGTCTTCAATGCACTCTAAGAGGCGTACCTGAGGTAAAGCATAGTATAGGTCCTTGATATCAATCGAGAAAGCCTGGTATTGGTTGGCACTCTGTTCTTGTAGAAAGCTGATGACTTCATGTGAGTTTTTTTACCAAAAAGGAGGTAAAAAACCGAGTTTACTTTTGCCCTTCTCCTACATAATGAATATCCAACTCGCCCAAGCATTAATTCTGAGAAGTTAGTAGAACAACTCAGTTGGGAAACTGCCATAGAGCCTGCTCTGAAAAAGTGGCGCCGATCCTTACTCCAGTACCGAGCTAATGGCGATCGCAACGCTACCTGTCTCCCGCAGCGGCCACTTCGTGAACTGCACGGCTGCAGTTACTGCTTCCGTCGAGTCACGGAAGGCCCGGTAGCGCCATCTCGTAGGACCATCTTGCAGAGCCATATAAAGCAACTTTCATGTTTCAACTCGTCGCTAAAGGGTGGCGCTGTTATCGTATTTAGATCGGTCTCGGTGGACGCCAGCGGCCGAGGTGTCAAGGGCAAGTTTTCAAACTGAGTGTTTCCGTAACGTTGGTTTCAGCTTAAGTCGAAGCGCAGCCGACGCTTCGATGTAATAGGACCAACCAAGCAGCGTTAAAAGCACACTTCAATAGGCCTGTTCTGATTATAACTGGTTCAGCAATGATGTAAAACATACACAAACATAACGAACCCCATGCTGAAGCGCTTTTGACGCTCTGATTTGTCCCTCAGCTCATAGCGTCGGCTGCGTCTGAACCAACGTTATTAGACTAGTCAGTTACGACCAACAGAACAGGGGAACTGCTCAACGAGGTAGAGGGGCTTAGAGCGATAAACCGGGGTTCCGGTCTGCACTCGAAAGTGACCCCCCTAAGGCGGCTGCCATTGTACGCAAATTTGACCACACGTCACATGACCAAACCAAATACGTGACGTCACAGGAAAGATGGCAGCGCCCATGCAGCGGCTGGCCCCAGCTGGGCCGGAGCTTGTCGGATGCTTTGTTGGTTGTCGTTCGTCTCGGCGAGTTGATTTCAGACGCGGAAGCCGTCATATGAGGCCGGTCGAAAGCGAGTTCAGAGTTCAGCGTGGTGTAGGTATAACGTGAAAATACGGAGGAACGGTGTGCATTTCGCTGGTGACCGTGTGCATTTCGCTGGTGACCGACCGGGATATTGCCACGGAAGAGACAATCTGACCTACGTTGCTCGGACCTCGGATTGATTCGGATACCGCTAGGATAAAATTTAAGGCGACGTTTCTGTGCTCTCGTTGACCATCGGAATCTTCGAGGTTTGCAGTGAAGCGTGTGCAATATATTTGGATACACAGTTTAGCGACGGAAATTGCATGAGTCGTGCTTGGCGGTGTGCAATCGCGGTGCAGCCTCGATCAAATGACCGAGGCTCACTTCGGTTGTGCGGCGTACCGGAAGGCTGCCTTGAAGCTGGTAGTTCCCGTGCCGCGCTGAATGATGCTGTGCTGCTTACAAATTGTTCTGGCGTAGAAGTGCACTTTCACGGAGCACAGGTGTGCGGCGCACCGAAGAGCTGCCTTCAAGCTGGTAGTTCCTGTGCCATGCTTTAGGTGATGCTGTGCTGCTTCCAAAATTGTTCCGGCGTAGACGTGCACTTTCACGGAGCACAGGTGTTGCAGTTGGTATTGATCCCGCTGGTCTGTCGCACGTTTCGTCAACACAAACGTTTCATCCACACTCGTTACGCGAATTGCAAGCTGCCCGGACATTTCATCGAGCGTGTTACGTACCCAGCTCACGCCGCTTTGTGGCAACAGTCTGCAGTGGCCCATTACCAGAAAAGTGGTCCCACATCCATTTCAGTTCAGTTCGTCCACGGCAGTCGCCAAACCCCGAAGGAGAGGATTTATTCGGACAGAATGCCACTAAAGCAATGCAGCTTCTTCAGTGGTCAGGATAGATTCTCTTCTGCGAGTTTTGTTATACTGTCACGGACCCTTGTTCCAGTCCTATCTTCTATCAATATTCACTATTCTGGGACACTGCAGGTCATGCTCAGCTGTAATTGTATGTTCAGGTGGAGGTGCTGGGCACTTTACCCATAGCCCTTCACTCTGTGTGAACCCGGCGGCTCTTCAACCGAGTTACCCGATAATGGGACACGGCTGGCGGACTATCCTGCGTCTTATACCCCTGTCGAGCCGTAAGCAAAGTCCTGACCCGAGCCTGGCAGAACAACCGCAAGACGACCGAGTACCACAAGGAGTAAGCTCGGAAATACACCACGAAGCACCTGAAATCCGAGCCAGTTGCTGCTACCAGGAAAAACCACCGGAATTCGGTCTCCTGTCAGAAAATCCGAAGCTGACTAAGCCAACAATGACAAACCTGTAGCAGCAAACCGTGTCCCCTCCCACCATTGTTTGCATGCCCGTCGCAAATCACACTCCGACGCTTTTTCACGCAAGCTGTATGAAGACGTCAAGGACTGGATTGAACAATATGACAGTGTCGCCCGCCACATTGGGTGGACAGACAACCAGCTCCTGCAGAACCTATACTTCTCGTGGAAGAAACTGCCGGCGCTGGTCTGAGAACCATGGATCCTCCTTAACGTCATGGGAAGTATGCAAGATCGAGCTGAAGCGCGCATTCGTCAGCCAACATCAACGAGAGAGAGCCGCATTCTTGATTCTGTCCAGGACACTGCCCCAATGAGAGCGCCACCGCACTCGTGGAGGATGTTTTGCGCTTGATCGAGCGCCCACGCCCACGCCCACGCCTTCGGCAGCCTTGTCCGCAACCCCCCCAACAACAGTCGGAGTGTTCATATCACTGAGGCTTCCAACATGGAATGTGCACTGCATGCCCAAGCCTGCCACTATGAACAACTTCCCGGCGTCTCGACACTCGAGTTGTCCAGCTACTACTTCGACGCCAGCCTCCCAGGCATCCACGACATCATCCACGACGTTGTCTGGGAGGAGATCAGGAAGCTACTTCCTGCCATCAGTTGCCTGGCTTTTATTTTGATTGCCGAGATTGTTTCGGAACAAGTTTGACAGGTATTTCAACCGAGACTTCTGCGAGCGAAGCGGCATCTGACAAACCGAGGGCAACTTACACCACAATGGCACGACGACCGCCACCGGCTGCCCCTTAGTACTCAATGCCAATTCAATGAGACACTCTAACGCCGAAGCATTCCCGACATCGTGTGTAGGTCTGTGCTCAACAAAGTATACCGAGGAAAACGTAGGTGATGCGAATGTACAACCGAAAACCACTTTGCTACCACTGCATGAAGCCGACCATGTCTACCAAAGCAGCCCGTACCAATGAATTGGTCGGCGAGGGTTCGTGCCAAACGACCCTCGATTACGTCTTGAGGAGCGACCACGGGAGATTAAGGATTACCTTCGGCGACCTTTGTCCCTGACGCCGAAGGTGCTGAATCGAAGATTCTGAATCCCTGATTACCCCAAAGCTCCTCATGTCCATCACCTCAACAAGAGGTAAGCACGACAAAGCAGGTAAGCGGCGATGCAGTGACAGTGGATTTGGTGTCGGTTGTCGTCCAAGGACAATACCTAAAAATTTGCTGACACCAATTTTCTGTGTCCACTCCACCAAGCACACAATTTCCAACTTTGAGGGAGAATGCCCCTGAATGACTTGAAGGAATAGAATGGCTAGTTGCTCTCAAAAGTGAACTGCAAGCATCACCAGACTTGGATAGCAAACAAAAATTGTTGCCAGCTTTCAAGTCAATGGTACAGCAAAAGGCACAGCCACGTAAGCAATACATGCCCGAGCTTGCTACATTGATGCCGAAAACTACCAGGAAAATTTTCGGATTAGAAGCCAGCCCTGCAGCTTCAGTGCATCAGACGTCAGTGGCCGCACATGACGTACGATTACAAGACAGCATCAGTCGGTCAAAGTCCGACTGATGCTGTCTTGTAACACCGACGTGCCAGGAGCGTCATCCGACAACAAGGTCCACAGGTACTACGACTGAACGCCTGACACCAGACTGTCGCAGAAAGAACTCGTTATGGAACCATTTACTAAGAATCAATAATTATGTAATCAAGTGGAAATAAACATATTTGATACACTAACCA